ATTTTATTAAACACATTTTGGTTACAAAGATTTATTGGGGAATCTTTGCCATACCTTGGAATATTTGTAAGAGATTACCGTACTGCGTGGACTAAAATATCCTGGGTATTTTACAAATTAATTTAAATAGACGGGTATTATAGTTAGGGGGATACTATGATTAGAGTAGGGGGTATTATAGTAGGAAATATAAATTATATAAAAAAGATTAAAAATGTGTTTCGCGTTAATCCTGTTTTAATCGTGTTTTAATCGCGTTTTAATCAAGTTTTAATCAATAATGCCTATTAGAGCTAGTAAAAGTTTTAAAAGAGCACGTATTACTACAAAATTACTTATTGTTCATTATGCTGAAAAATCACAAAATAATCGTGAAACTGCAAGAAAGTTTGATATTCAACCGAAACAAGTTTGTGAGTGGAAAAATCAAAAATTACAATTACAAGCTGTTTCTCCTTTTATTCAAAAACTTCATTCGGGCAAAGAACCCCACTTACCACTTTTAGAAAATGAATTATATGATTGGATTATTAATATGAGAAATGATGCCAAGGCTATTACTCGAAGAAGTGTAACTAGAAAAGCTAAAACTTTAGCTACAAAACAACATTATCAAGATTTATATCCAAAAATTCAAAATTTTAAATTTTCTAATAAGTGGCTTGATGGTTTTATGCATAGACGAAAACTTTCTAACCGCCGTCGTACCAATATAGCTCAACATTTACCAGAAGAGTTGAATGAAAAACAACAAAATTTTTTAAGTTTTGTATTATATCGACGAATTCAGTATAATTACGAATTACGATTTATTGGAAATATGGATGAAACTCCTATGAGTTTTGATCTTCCCTATAGTACTACTCTCGATCTTACTGGCACACACACTGTTAGCATTCAAACAAGTGGTCACGAAAGAACAAATTTTACTGTTGTACTTGCATGCATGGCTAATGGTATGAAATTACCTCCTGTATGCATTTTTAAATTAAAAAATAAGCCACGGGAAAATTTTCCTTCCGATGTAAAAATTCAATTTAATGAAAAAGGATATATGAACGAACAAATGATGCTATGGTAGGTGGATAATGTCTGGACAACTAGAAACATGCTTGGAAATTCAAGATCTCTTTTAATAATGGATTCATTTCGAGGCCATTTGGTAGATTCAGTAAAAAACCGCCTTACAGAAAAAGCAACAAATATTGCTATTATTCCTGGAGGTCTTACTTCTAGAGTTCAACCATTGGATGTTGCGATTAACAAGAGTTTTAAAGCGAAGGTAAATTTGTATTTATTACATTAACTTTAAACATTAATTATTTTAATTAAAAAAACGTTATTTATTATTTAGGTTCGTGAATATTATAATAACTGGATGAATCGGGATGATTTGGTATATACTGCAATGGGTCGGATTAAGAAACCTAGCTATGCTACATTAGCAGAATGGGTTAGTTGTGCATGGTCAGATGTAGATTCAGGTTTAATAGCTCGATCATTTAAATGTTGTGGAATTTCAGTCGCTAGAGATGGATCCAAAGATGATCAAATTTTTGATTATGATCGTTTATTAAATATTGATGATGATAATATCACAGATGGGAAAGAAAATATTTTTAGTAATGATAACTTTGATATTAACGAAGAATTAAACTATGAAGAACAACTGGGATACGATATTGATTGGGAATAAAAAAGAATTATAAATGCTGTTTTTTTTGTTTTTTTTTTTATGTAGTACGCATATATTGTACATAGATAATAGAATAAATAAATCAATTGATACAAAGAATCTTTTATCGGATTTTTATAAAAGAATATTTTATATTAAAGAAGCGAACTTATAAATTCTTTTCCCTTACTACATTTGTTTCTTCTAACTCATTTTTGCAAAACCCATAAGTAAAAAAAAAAACAATTATAACCACATGTTTTATATTATAATAATTATTTAAAATCTTCGCCTGGACTTATTTTTTCTAAACCATCCCCTAATTACACTTTCCTATATACATTTATTTCTTCTAATCTATCTATTTTCTCTATCATCGATTTTGTTTTCTCATATACTTATATTTATTCACAACTTATTTATAATTCATTCCTTTTAACCTATACCTATCTACTTTATACTACCCATTCGTTTTATCCCTTTCTTCCACTTACGTTTATCTACTACCGTTAACAACGTTTAACCCTATTATAATTTGATTGATCTCTGTACATAAAAATCGTTTGATAAAATTGATAATAAGTTATCACTAATAGGAGATAATATTGGAGGTATGGTTATTTCTAGAAAAATTAGCGAAGAATACTATAATTGATAACTTTTTAAGAGACAAAATACCTTGTGACCACTTAATCGTATCGCGTTTAGTAATCTTTCGAAGTTCCCCAAAGCATCTGCATTTTTATTAAAATAATGTCCCAACTCTTGTTAATATTGGTCCATAAACGTTGATATATTCAAGACCAAGAGGAAGAAAGTCTTGATGCCAGTGTATACACCAGAATTGCATATTCATAGTTCTTTATGTTTTCCAAATGACTTTATCTAACTAATTTTTGCAACTATATAATAGATCTGATCTCATATCTGAAATCTAATGAGGATTATAAAAAAATAGAAATAGTGGTTAATAATGCGGAAAAATTGATCAGAAGTAAAACAGGATTTAGGACGAAACTGGGTAAATTGTAAATACCTATTGTATACAATCAATACTGGCAACAAATAAAAAAAGAAATAACGCTAGCCTTTTCGGATGACAACGCGAAGAAACTGGCCAGAATCCTTATCAGCTTGCGGGATAACTTTGATATGAAAGGGTTCGAGGAAAGCAGGACGCGTTGACAGCTCTCTCGTATGGAAGTCTGTGCCGTAAGTATGAGCCCCAAATCTTATCAGACTCAATCTGTACGATTTGCTATAACAAAGCGTGAAAATTCTTTTGGAATTCTAGGTATATTAACATTCTCCCCTAAAAAATTAAAATATAAAAAAAAAATTAATTAATTAATGACACCGTAACGATTAGAATTCGCCACCCCTGCCCAAAAAAGAGAAACAAAGAACAAGAGATGACTTATTCCTCCAAATAAACCAAAGAAAAGACCTACCGGCCATATGACGCCAACCCCGAGAGATGCTGGACGGTGTAGAGAAATGCCGGAGCCACGACCTAGAACGGTGGAGAAAGGATGACACTGATTGCAAGTTCTTCAAAGACCTCCCTTCCCTTAAAAATCAAGCTTCCGGCGAAATCTTTACAAACGAATGTCACTGGCTGGCGAAGAAACTAAGAAAAAGTCAGGAAATGATATCCGACGATGTTACGATTGACTCTCGTCGAGTGATATTTACGTTTGAAGATTAAAAATAATAGTGGAATCTCCAATCGATATCTCGAAGAGTAACAATGATCACAATTGCGCGTTTTCCCTTTGAAACCACGTAACTCCGGTTTTAATAAAGAGAGTCGCGACACCGAAAGAAGCTCCAGACGAGTCCCTACAGAAAGGAGGACCTTCTGAGAAGAGAACGGCGAAGAAACCAAAAGGCAAAGAACTAGAACTTACTGCGAGATCCCGGTAGCCAAGCCAGGGACGTGATATCGCCGAGGGTCAAGGCAAAATTGTGAAACATTGTCAAGATCGGATCATCAGAAAAAACATTGTTTTCAAAAAGAAGAAACATGAAATGTGAGTAGAGGAGTATTTAAATTGCTATGACAAAAATCACTATACTTATCAAGAAGACCAATAATCGC